TACCAGGAGCTTCAGGCCTCCCTTCACGAATGTCAGGGTAACAACAACTCCTTGACTTTTCAGCTCAACCAGACCCGAGTGGAAAATCAGATCAAGGATCGTGAGATTCAGAGACTTCGGTCGGCTGCTCCTAGCGCCTCGAACTCTGGGTCTCCTCCGAAACCGCCTAAGCCAACGGTTCCTCATGCTGCTTCAGTGTCTGTGCCAAGTGAAGCATCTTGGGTTCACCTTGATTCCTCAGATCATCCTTCTGGGGGAAACCACCACTCCGGTACTGGTGTGCCATCATCCACTTCACCTCCTCCTCAGTTACATCCTATCTCCCCTGCATCAGGCCCTCGTGTGGATCAGCTCATTGAAGTAGTTCAGCAGTTGGTTCACCAGGTCAACCAACATGCTACGGATCAGGCAGAGGCCAATGATGATGTAGAGGAAGATGGTGTCAGAGAATTGAGAGAGAAGGATGTCGTTGATCAGCGCGCTCTCCTGCACCTTAAGCTCGAGCCAATCCCGCCTGATGCCGCCAGCTTCAGAACTTGGAAGAATGGTTTCAAAGTTCAATTGTCAAAGCTTGACACATCGGGTCAAGGTATCGTCCTCGCTTGGATTTCACGGGGTTTCGATGCCGACAGGGTTGATCTTGAAGATTCTGGACTTTTGCCAAGGCTTGATGCATGGGTTGCAGGTGAGCTGTCCTCTGGGCGTGTTTTGAAGCAATCATCCGAGTTGGAGCAAGATATCACGGCGTACATCGAAAGATGCAGTCAGCTTGATCGATCACCCAAAGGTCGTGTGATGTTGAGTATCATTGCTCGGCATTATGATCTTGACCGTGTGCGAGGGTCAGTGCTGACCGCATCCACGTTGTTCCAGATTGAACTGGGTGGGAATTCTATCAAGGACTTGAGGGATTTCGTCAATCGCATTCGGATCGTTCTGAGTGCTATCCCAGTTGGTCAGAGGCCAGATGATCGTCTCACGGGTGAATGGTTGTTTCATCGAGTGAAACACATCAGAAAGCTTGAGCGCGTCATTGAGGATATTCGTGATTCGGCTTCCACATCTCATCGTCGAGAATGGACTTTCTTGTGGGATAAGATTCAGGATTTGATCGTTCAGGATCGTGAAAATTCGAATGCCCAGTCTGTGTTGAAGTCGTTGCAAGCTGCAACACCGCAGGCGAAAACCAAAGCTGTTCCAGCAGTTCCTCCTGCATCACCACCGAAGGCTCCGCCTCCTAAGACTTCAACCGCTTCACCTGCACCTTCAACTGATGTTGCCAAGGCTGCTGCTGCTCCCGCAACAAAGCCCAAACCGAAGCCGAAACCCAAGGCAAAGGCTTTGACTGATGCTGAAAAGGCGAAGACCCCGTGTATTTTCTTCCAGATGCCTTCTGGTTGCATTCACGGGGACAATTGCAAGTTCAGTCATAAAGTTCCTGCTGCCAAGGGTAAGGCCAGGGCTAAAGAAGCTGCAAAGGCTAAGCCCGGAGCCGTAGCTAAAGCCGTTGTCGCTCTTGTTGCTGCTTCAAGTCTTTGCGTTCCCGCAACTTCTCTTGCGCCCACTTACGCCGTTGAGTGGGCTGCTGATACTGCTGCAGGTCGTCATCTTGGTTCAGCGAAAGCTTTGCTTGACCAAGGGATACCTCGCCAGGCCTTTGATCACCTTCTTGGTGCTTCGCGTTCGCCAGTTACCTTTCATACAGGTGGTGGCCCTCAGCCAGGTGTGCAAACCTTAGGTTTCGAGTCTGACAGCATGGATTTTGCGAATCACTACATGTTAGACAGTTGCCCCTTGGTACGCAGTACTGGCATCGACGTTGATTCAGGGAAAGCCTTCGTGTGGTTGCCCGGAAAGCTTCCGTTCTTCGTTTCGGACATGTCAAAGCTGAAGGTTGAGTGCCCTGAGCATGCACGCCATTATGCCTCAAGAGTTGATGAGCATGTTCCCATTTTTACAAGCCAAGTGAAGTTCACGCATGGAGCTGCAAACCCAGTTGCTGAGGCTTCAGGGGGGGCAGTTGACACGGGACCGGCTGCTATCCCTAGCGCCATCCGTTTACCTGATTTGCATCCTGCTGAACTTCGAGCTAAGCAAATCTTGTCTTCTGGGAGCAATGTAAGTTGTTGTGCCATTCGCAAGCTTTTTGACTTGGTTGAAAAGGAGCCTGCTCCTCGAGGTGACCAGGGAGAGTCTTTTACTTCTGGACTTTTTCGGCTGGGTGGAGTTCTTCATCGCAGCAGCTTCCTTTGGTTACCAAAGTGATCAACAAGTTTGCTTGCGCCAGGGTTCCGAAGTTTGGTTATACGACGTTTAGCATCTTCAACAATGTTGCTACTGGTCCTCACAAGGACTTCCACAATGCACACCTTGATAACGTGATTGTTTCTCTTGGTGGCTTTACCGGTGGAGGCGTATGGATTGAGGAATTAGGGGGGTCCACTCCGTGTCCTGATGACCCTTCTCGTCTTGGTCGAGTACTCAACTTCCGTAACGGAACCATCCGACTTCGGGCAAAGACCATAGTGCATTCAACTATGCCATGGAAAGGCAATAGGACAGTCCTTGTTCTTTTCTCTGCAAAACACCCTTCAGACGTCAGCAGTGACTTGTGTTCGGAATTACGCGCCCTGGGTTTTCCGATTGACCTTTGTGGAATTTCCGCCGTTGCTGCTGAGGCTCCGGAGGGTTCGGCTGCTGATGCGCCACCCGATGCCGGCTCGGCTGCTGATGCGCCACCTGGTGTCGGTGACGATGAACATCCTGTTGAGGTTGGACCCAAGGATGATTCGGAAGATAGAGTTCCTGAAAGGGTTGTTAAGCTTCGGGATCAAGCGATGACGATTGAGCATAGGTTGTTCCACTTCCCGAAGAACCCGTTTTGTGATGTCTGCAATCAAGCTCGCATGCTGTCACGTCGTGTTCGTCGAAAGCCGCGTGATCCCGATGAAGAGCCTGATCCTCTTGAAGCGTCAGAGTTCGGAGAAGTCATTGCCGCAGATCACATTCATGTGCTTAGATCGCCTGACGACTCCGATGCTCTTGATAAGACTTACGTTGTGTTGTGTTTGAGAAACAAGTACACTGGCATTTTTGCCGCCTTTCCGGGTACTGATCGCTCCACGGCATCGATTGTAAGCCCTTTGAGGAAGTTTGTTGGACGTCGAATTTGCTCCAAGCCTGTGACCCTTGTTTCCGATGCAGCTGATGAGTTTGTCGCCGCTGCTGAGGAGATGGGTTGGATTTCTCCTCCTTCGCTTCCGAATCGTTTTCCTCACAATGCTCAGCTAGAGCGAGAGATTAGAACGTTTCAAGAAGGTGTTCGTGCATCATTCCTTGAAGCTGGCTTTTCGATTCGCCCTGAGCTTTGGCCCATTGCATGCCGTTATGGTTCTATGGCTTTGAACCTGACGTTGCCTTCGCCCGCTGATGAGTCATGCAACAGGTGGTTTTCATGAACGATGATGCCGGAAGAGATGAAGTTCCTGTGAAGAAGCTCCTTCTTGGACAGCTCGTGTTTTATCGACATAAGAGCGAGAGTAAGTTTGGTCCGAATGCTGCACCTGGTTTGTTCGCCGGTTGGAGGCTTGAACCCGGTAGCATTTACCGTTCCGTGACTTATGTCCTTGATCTTGAGAAGCTTCGCTTGAAGTCCGGTGCTTGGACTGATCCTCTCAACGTTCCTGAAGCTGAGCTTTATGTTCGGTCTGGGGATCCGGTATTCCCATTGCGAAATGCTGCTGAGCATGCCCTGTTGTCGTTTGCTGAATTAGGTGATGTTGTAGTCCCTGAACCGTTGCCTCTTCCGTTCACGCCACATGTCTTCGGTGACAAGGATGGACGTAAGAAGATTCGGCGGATTTACATTACCTATGCCAGGTTCCGAAAGATAGGACCGACTCCCGGTTGCTCAGCATGTGAGAATGACAAAAGCAATCACAACGCGGAATGCATTGCTAGGTTCGAGAAGGCGTTTGGTCGAGAGTCCAAAGCTCCAGAAACGCCAGTGCCAAAGGAGTTTCTGTCTTACGAAGAACTTATGTTACCGCGCCCAGCTGTTCGCCCTGACGGCGATCACCTCTCCGATATTGAGCCATCTGGAGATGAGGGAGAGCAAGTGCCGGCCATTGTGGCCCAGCACAGGCATCAAAAGCTTGGGTCGTTGATCCTGTTCGAAAATGTTTCGCATACGTGCTCGCGGTTATCGGATTTTGGATTGACTTCAGGCATCAAAGTTGTGACTGTGCCTTGCGACCAAGTGAACTTGACTGATCCGGTGACTGTCGATCAGCTTGTGTCCCAGGTGCTTGCTGCCCCAGGTTGTTGTCTTCATGGTTCACGGAGATGGTTGGGGTCGCACGTGTAACGGGTATGAGGTTTGGAAATCTCAACGCACGCTTCTCGGTTTCTTGCAAGTTGCAGCCGCTGTGCTGTCGAACGGCGGTGAAGTTGTCGTTGATTGGCCTCAAGATTCATCTTCCTGGATGCTTCCTGAAGTCCAAGCGTTCGAAGACCAGTTCGGTTTGAAGAAGGTCACTTTCAAGGGTTGTGCTCTGGGGATGGTAACTTTGAAAGGTAACCCCATTGACGCTCCTTGGCAGATTATGTCCTCCAGCAAACGAGTCATCGACAATTTCAAACCATTCAAATGCAATCATGCGCCTGACGTGAAGCATGACAAAGCCTCCGCGCTGTGGCCAAGGGTAGCTCACTATCCTCAGGCCTTTCATGAAGTTCTGCTCATGTCACTCTTTCCATTTGCCAAAGCATTTCAGTCACCCGCGCTTCCTTGTGTTCCTTGTGTGCCTCAAATCCACCGCGAAAAGGATTCGAAGCCTTCAGTGCCAATCGATGTCTTGATGCACGAAACAGGCATGAAAGAGGTTAAAGTCCCAGGTTTGGTCCACAGGTTGCTTGATCGCAAAGAGTGGGCTGG